ATGTTTATTCCAATTTAGATTTTCGTCAATAAAAACACCCAAAAATTTTGTAACAGTATCCCTACCTGTTTCTCTATTTTCAATAAACAATTTCGGAAAAAAAGATTGAACTTCTTTTTTTTTAAAAGAAGGATGAAATAAAGAAAACTTTGTTTTACTTGAGTTAATAGAGAGTTTGTTTGCCCTAAACCACTCTGAAATCTTTTCTAATTCATTGTTCATTTCTACGCACAGCTCGCTATTATATTTTCCAGAGATAAAAAAGTTGAAACAAAAAGCAAACATTATAGTTGAAATTCTTTTTAAAGCCATACAGAGATCGTTTACATAGATTAAGAAAAGCAAGGGCCCAAGTATTGAACCTTGAGGTACACCACACTCTATTATAGACGGATTAGAGAGTTTATTGTCTCCGTAATATACATATTGCACACGTTTATCTAAATAGCTTTCTATCCACTTGTTGGATCTACCCCTTATACCGTACATATTAAGCTTTGATAATAATATTTTGTGGTCGACTGTATCAAAAGCCTTCGAGAGATCTACAAAAACCCCCAAAGTAACTTCTCCGTTTGTAAAGGAGTTTTTTATTTCTTCAACCAAGTGAAGGATTGCGTGTTCTGTTGATGTATTTTTTTGAAAGCCGAACTGCTTTGAATAAATAAGATTGTTTTCTTTAAAAAAAGTATATAACCCATTGTGCATAATTCTCTCAAGTATCTTAGAGAATGTTGAAAGTATTGATATTGGTCTAAAATTACCTATTTCACTTGCATCTCCTGATTTAAATATAGGTTTTACTTTAGCAGTTTTTAGTTTTTCAGGAAATATACCTTCCTTTAAAGAATGTTTAAAAATTTTGAATAAAGGATTTTTAAGCTCATTGTAACAGTTAATTACTATGTTGCTATTGACATCGTCAATTCCAGTAGCCTTGTTTCTTTTAAGGCTTTTAAAAACCTCTTCAATTTCTAACATGGTTAGATTTTCATTATTTAGTTTATTTCTATTACGAATTAAATATTTATCAAAAGATTTATTTACACGAGGAATTTGAGATGCAAGTTTAGATCCTATATTAACAAGTTGTTAAACTCATTTGCAATGTCGTTTTCATTATCAATTGATTTGTGGTTGATTTTTATTGTCTAAAGGTGAGTTTCCACTCATCCGTTTTTTCACGGGAACGGGATAGGAAAGGGAAAAATAATCACGTGAGCATGCGTAGTTTTCCTTCAGACATATTAAAACTTATACTACGCATGCCCACGTGATTATTTTTCCCGTCCCTTTCCCGTTCCCGCGAAAAAAACAGATGAGTGGAAACTCACCTTTAGGAAAGCATGGTTTGCTAGTTTTTGGTTTTCCAATTATTTCATTTAATAGTTGCCATGTTTTTCTGGAATCTGTTTGACACTTTTTAAGAAGTTTGTTATAATAAGTAGCTTTAGCGGTTTTTTTAAGTTTCTCAAATAAATTTGCATAATTCTTGTATTCTGTTTTTGTTTTATCACTTTTTTTTTTAAGGTATTTTATATATAATTTTTAGTTTCGTTTAGATGACTTTTTAAAACCTTTACTTAACCAAGGTGAATTTATGTCTTTAAGTTTAATTGTATTTGTTACTTTGGGAAAAAGTTTTTCATAACAAAATAAAAAAATATTGATAAACTTGTTATACATTAAATTGGTGTCATTAAAAGATTCTAAATCTGACCCGTCAATATACGCTAACTCTCTTTTAAAGTAGACCTGGCTGTGTAAAGAAAAATGCCGCCTTGTGATTGTCATTTTTTGACTTATATTTATTTTTTGTTTGAGGTCTTTATTGAAATAAATATCGGAAAATGATCCGATATTGGTGTTTTAATTACTTCTTTTTTTAGCGAGATTTCAAATAAAGAATTTGTTAGTATATTATCGATTAATGTTGATGAATTTCTTGTAATTCGAGCTGGCCTATTTATAAGAGGAATTACACCAAATCGGAAAATATCATTGTAAAAGTTTTGTGTTTCTTTATTTTTGTCATAGTTTAGAGCGTTAAGATTAAAATCTCCTACTACAAATAAACTTTTTTTTTCTTGGAAGCTTTTCAAAATAATATTTTAAAGATGGTTTGAAAATATTTCTGTTGAAGACTGTGGCGGTTTCACGGCAGTTTCGTAATGGAACTTTATTCTGGGCATGCGCATTAACAAATATTTTTATCTTTAAGTTTTCAATAAAGCGAGCAAAACGCAAAAAAAAAATTAAAAAGCACAGATTTAATAACTAAATTTATTATACCTTTTAATAAAAATAAGTTTTTAGACTTTTTTTTATTTTAATAAATTATTAGTTGAACTAGTTTTAAAAGATACATACATATAAAAAAAAAGTGTTTACTCACTTTTTATAAGTTCAAGAACATTGCAATTTTTTTAGTTACAAACTTTATGGAAGTCTAATTATTCTTGATAAATAAGTACATTAATAAATTTTTCGTGAAAACCTG